ATTTTTTTTTTTTTTAAAAAAAAAAAACTTTGTGTGTTTACAATTTTATTTTTCCTTTAATTTATTTTGTTACATATCAAATAATAAAATAAACACATATAAATTTAGTAGTTACACATTCAAAAAAAAATAAAAATAATTATTTTAAAAAAAAAAAAATCAGTTTTTAAAAAAAAATCATTTTATAATAAAAAATAAAAAAAACAATATAATAATTATAAATCTTTAAAATGTCAACCAATGGCGATTCAGTTAGTGATGGTAAAAATGCAAATGGTGTAACCCAACCAACAACTTGGAAATTTAAACCACAAACCCCTACAGATTTTAATATTACAGTTGGAAGAAGAAAAAGAAGAAATTCTGAACCAGGTGTATTGGTGCAAAGATCTTATAAAAACTATGTTACTCATTGGAAATTAGAAAGTAAAAAACCACCAAAAAATAAAGAAACCAAAGAAGAGAAAAAGCAACAGCAATTACAACAAGTGCAACAACATCAACAATTCAATAATCAACCACCACAACAAAGTCAACAGCAACCACCACAACCACCACCACCCTCTCAATTCCAACCACCACAGTTCCACCACATTCAAATTCAAAAATCGCAACATAGTAACAACCAACAAAATCATCAACAATATAACCCAAATCCTAACCAAGAAGGCTTTCAATCGACCCCACACCAACAAAAATCACAATACCAATCACAATATAACAGCAATAATAATAATAATAATAATAATAATAATAGCAATAATAATATGAGTAGATCACCAACATCATCACCGTTATTATTCCCATCAGCGTCATCAGCCTTTACATCAATTAAATCATCACCACGTTCATCATCAAACTCACCATTTCAACAAGAACAAACATTCTATTCAGAGAGAGATTTACCATTTTCACGTCCTCAAAGAAAGCCTTCTATTGGTGAAGATTATAAATTTCATCCCTATAATAAAACCATCACTATTTTAAGTAGTGATAATTGTAATAATAATAATACTCAACAAAACCAAAACTGTACAGATATTTCAAACGAAGATGATTCTAGTTTATCAAATCACCATTATAATAGACTAACACAAAGACGTGTTTCATTACCAATTTTTAGTCACAGATCAAGCTCCCCAGAAAGATCACTCTCACCAATACATGAAAGAAACAATCATCAACATTATCAACAAAATAATAGTAATAATAATAATAATAATAACAATGGAGGAAGCTATAACCCAACACTTCCATCCATACCATTTAATTTCGAGAACAGAAGACCATCAAGAGAAGATCAAAGCTTAATTAAGCAATATATATCACAGCATATTCATGAAAAAAAGAATTAAATAACCACTCGCCACGTTCAAAATATAATACTGGTCACCAACAACAATACCATGGTAATTTTGATGATGTAGAAGAAGAGTATAATACAAATAGTAACTACTATGGTGATGATGACCATTCTCCACGACCACATCAACATCATTCACAACAAAACCATCATAATAATTATAATACTAATAATAATCATAATCATAATAACAATATGAATAATATAAATAATATAAATAATAATATGAACAATAATAATATCAATAACACTGATACCTCTCCACCATTATCAGGTAGCAAACTTCCATCAATTCAATCACTTTTAAATAATGTTTCGATATCCGATCAAAAATCGCCAGTTGGATCACCAGTTATAGTTGGTAACTCCTCAAATAACTATCAAGGTAATCTTGATTCACCAAAACGTCAACAACACTATGTTCAACAACAATCACCATCACCAAACCATCGTTCCCATCCACATTCAAATTTTAATAACTTGGTAAATGATAACGAAGATTTAAATAATGATGATAGTCAGAATAAACAATCAAATATACCATTTTATTTAAATAAATAAGCAATAATATTTATAATAATAATAATAATAATAATAATAATAATAATAATAATAATAATAATAATAAAAAAAAAAAGGAAATAAAATAAAAATAAAAAAAAACAAATAAATTGTATTATATTATATAATAATTATTTTAATTTTAAATAATTAATTATAGAATATTTAAAAATTAAAAGAAAAAAATTATCTTGACAACTATTAATATCTTTTGTTGATCATAATTTTGATTCATAGATTTCATATAAAAATAAAAAAAAAAAAAATTAAGATATTTTTATTTTTTTTATGATAACAAAAGGAAAAGCGTATAAATAATTTGACAAATTACTATATTTGACTCTTATAGTATAAATTCATACTATAATTTTAGTTGATTTCAATTACATTTAATTTTGAAATAAAAAGTAATTATTGTAAAATAAAAATTAAACAGCGGGTTATAATTTAAAATAATCGAAATAAAACAGAAAGATCTAAATTTAGTTTTTATTTTTCTTTTTTTAATTTTTTTTTTTTTATATTATTTAAAATAAAATATCGACTGATCACCAATTCAAATACACAACATACCAACCCCTCAATTAGTGATATCACTTTTAAAATAATATAATAAATAGAAAATAAAATAATATTTTTATTAAAATAAAATTAACTAAAAAATTTTCAAAAAAAAATTTTATTTTTATTTTATTTTTTATTTTTTATTTTTTTTAAAAAATTTTTTTTTTATTTTTTATTTTTTTTTTTTTATTTTTTTAAAATCCAGCGATAGTGTGTAATTTTAATAATAATAATAACAAATTTTTTGTTATTTATATATATATATTAAAGTCTTAAAAAAAATAGAAAAAGAAAGGAAGAACTTAGAAGACAAATGTAATTATTTTTATTAAATTTTTTTTTTTTTTTCAATAAATCAAATAATTTTTTATTTTTTTATTTTTATTTTTATTTCTATTTATTTATTTATTTATTTATCTTTTTATTTTTATTTTTTTATTTTATAAAAAACGTACTAATTTATTTATTTCCTTCCTTTATTTCAGTTGTATATTCATAGACCTTTTGTATAATATCCATAAAAAAAAAAAGGTAATTATTTTATATATAACCAATTGGCTAAAACCATTATTCAAAAAATTTTTAAAAAATTTAAAAAAAATTTAAAAAAAAAAAAAATTATTATAATTGAAAAATTTAAAAAAAAACAACTTTTTTTTTTTTTTTTTAAATACACATATTTTTTTTTTTTTTATATTATATATACCATTTTTTTTTTCTTTCTATTTTGTATTTGTATTTAATTTTTTTTTTTTTTTTTGTATCAATTTATAAAAAAAAAGTAATAACAGAAAGGAAAGTATGATAAACTCATTTTGGGTTAACCGTCTATATTATTTATTATGGGGGATATAAATAAATAAATAACAATCTCTTTTTTTTTTTTTTTATTTTATTTTTAATTTTTTTATATTATTTGTTTTTCTTTAAAATACACACTAGACAACATATCAATAAATAATCATAAAAGTTTTTTTAAAAAAATAATTTATTAATATCTTTTTTTGTTTTCCCCTCTTTTTCTATTTATTTATAGATTT